AATTTCCAGTTTCTTATTGGCCAGTGATTCGATCATCATATTGTTGGTATCCGGATCGGGATTTTCTCGCATGGACGGACGGCAGCGAACGGTTAGCAGGATCCGGATCCTGCTAACCGTTAGCTGCCTTGTGAGAACATAGCCACAAACGCCCTCAACTTGCTAACCGATAGCGCTTGCTAACGGTTAGCGCTAACCGATCGGGCGTTCTCACGCAGGTGCTAACGGTTAGCGCTAACGGTTAGCTCTCGATCCGGATACTAGGGCTCGTGAGAACCAAGCTATACAGTTTGTCCTCCAATTCGTTACCATCTTTTGCACCTCAACATTTAGGGGTGTTATAGGGGTTCGGTCTCCTTATAGAGGGTTAGCTTAATATTAAGAGATTGAAGATTGTTATTTGGTTCTTTGAAAAAGTAGTCTCGAGTTATAGAGGTTTCGGACTTTGAGGGGTATTTAAATAAAGGGTGCACCGTATATAGATTTTTAACTTCTAAACCAGATGATAGAAACAAGAATACTACGAGAGTATTTTATCCGTGGATTGATGATAATCTTCACACGTTAGCAAGAATCATTCTGTAGAGCACAAATTAAACTAAATTGCTAGATTCGAAGCATTATTTTTTATAGGCATGGAATAGTGCTCTCATTTAATAATATAATATTGCATTTATCACCACCTTAGTTTATTCTGCAGATAAGTGTAGCAGAAAGTCCTTTGCTGCAGTTACAGTAGGCTATCGATTCTTTGAGGTACCCGGATTCAGCAGTTGAAATCACCAGGCGATATCATTGTACAGTGGTGTCTCCAGACACTTGCGGGTGGGGTTCATAAAGTCCGACAGGGGGGGGGGGGCAAGCTTGGGGCAGCATAGAGCCTCCGTCATTAACCTGGAATTAGGATGTCACAAAACTGTATTTTTAGACCATAATATTAAGCACTAACAGTCACAATAACTTTGTTTATATCGAATTAATATTTATAGTCCGAATTCCGTACGGTACCTCGTCGTAGCGTCGTCGGACCTGGGAGGTCGATG